TTGATTGCGTGCCAGGCTGGCAGGATGGCAGCAGGGAGGCAGAGCTGCCCCGGCTAAATGCGCTCGCTCGCTCTCATCAGCCCTCTCCTTCTTCCCGGGCCCAGCATGGGGAGGCACGATGCTTTCCTCTCCTTTAGAAGGGTTTTGCTTGGCTTCTTAAGTCTCTTTAAAGGCATTTCTAGGTCTGTTAATTATTCATGACGTCTTAATTATGTTTAGGCCACTGTGATCTCTCTTTCTTTGGTGAAGAAAGTTGTTATTTGTGAGTCAAAAGCTCTTTATGAAGGAGACAGGCTGGAATCGTCAGAAAGACTTGGGGGAGCAGTTGGAGTTATTAAAAGAAGCTTTGATTAAAGGCAGGGAGTTAATTTAACAAGAGTAACTGGTTTTCTCTTTTTTTTTTTCCCTGGGTGTGCAGAACAAAGCACAGCCAGGGATGTGTCAGGGCTCACCTGGAGCAGCAGGACTCACTCAGGTGCCCCAGGAGATGGGCAGATCCTTCCTTTTATCTCTTTTGGGTGCTGTGAATGGCTCCTGTCCACAGGCTTAGAAATGAAATTTGGCTGTAAGGGTGAACCTCAGAGCAGCTGCCTTTGATGCTGCCAGGCTCAGGGCAGACTGGCTGAAAACAGCCTGGTGTGTCCTGTTTGATGTGAAAATATCGTTTATTCTGCTGTGTTTGGGAGGGGAGGGGGCACTGCAGCTCCTCATTTTCCCTCTGTCACGGTGGCACTGAGGTGAATCATCCACCAGGGAGAATTCAGCCTCGTTTGAACTCAGCAGTTCTGGAGATTCTGGTTTCTGCACAAGCTGGGGATTATTCTGTGTTGGATCAAAACTGAGTAAACCTTTGGATCTGAAATGCCATTAAACTGAAATTTTAGCGTGTTAGTTCTTGGACATGGACAGACAGCTTTCTTTCCCAGCAGTGGGAAGGATTTTCTTTGTACTATTTTTTCTTCTTCTTTTATATAAAGAAAATAATCTTTATTTAAAAGTGCTGATTAAGCCTGGCTGAGAGTCCACCTGCACAAACGCCAAACCTGAGTGTGTAGCCTGAGAAACCAGGGCAACATAAATTAAAATATTCCAAAATAAATGAATTAAGTCATCCAGCACGAATCCAGCTGGGCACCTCTGCCTTCCACCCCTTCCTCCTCCCTTCCTCCCCAGCCCACCGCTGCCTGGGAGAGGAGAGACATTTCAGACCATTTCCTTTCTGTCTGTGCCTTTCTGCATCTTTCCTTCCTCGCGTCTGGTTCTCGTGGCTGCAGGCAAGGCAAACACCAGAATTCTCAAGGATAGACAGGGGTAAGGGAGGAAAATGGAAAATAGCCTGAAAAGCAAGTCAGAAAAAGGCAAATCTCGTGTGAGGGCAGCTTTTCCTCCGTGTGTTTGAGCTCTGCAGCAGAACCACAGCCCCCTGGAGCCTGACCCTCAGAGCTGAGAGTAAACCAGAACAAAACAAGCAGAGGGACATCGGGGTGGCTTGTGCAAGTCTCTATTTAATGACAGTGCTGCATGAAGACATTGGTTGGTGTCACATGTACCTGTGATGGGCATTTATACATTCCTGACTCCTGGGGAGCCGTGGTTGCACTGGAGATTTTCACCACAAGAGGTAGTGGCTTTATTTTTCCTGTTTTCCTTTTTTTTTTTAATTATGATTATTATTTTTTTTTATTTCAGCAGGATTGGATAAGCTGGTTAGACCTACTGGAGTTCGTGTACTCTTCAGCCAGGAAGATTAACAGTTCTGTGGAGTGGGAGCAAGCAGGCAAGCAGCAAATACAGTGCAGGCAGAATTCACTGGCTTTTAATTCAAACCTGTTTGGGGGTGCAGAGGTCCCCACCCAGGGCTTCAGCAAGCTGGGAATCACAGGGAGGGAAAGCAGGAACAGGAAGACTCAAAAAGCAGAACGAAAGCTTCAATTATAAATAATGAATCCCAAAAGAGGGGCTAGAGCAAGGCTCTGGAGTTCTGGAGGAACAAAGAAATGAAATCTTCTGCTTAAGGTGTTTTTTAAAAACCAGCTCAGTGCCCTTCCCATCACCAGCACGTCCTGCCAGCAGAGGTCCTTGGGGAAGCAGAGGTTTGTTTTTTCCAGGGTGGAAGGAACAGTGAGGTTTGCCAGGTCAGAGCTGTGGCAGAGGCTCCCAAGTCCCTCGGGGTGCAGCTGACTCAGGATGGGTTCTGAGGAGCTCCCACAAACAGCTCCCACGTTCTCCTTGTGTCAGCACACTCTGCCCTTGCTCCTGGCACTGCCTCCCTCCTTGGCAAGCCAGAGGTGAGGATGACTTTGGTGCTGTCTCCAGAAGGGGAAGGCTCAGTCCTGCGTTTCAAAGTGCTTCGTTTGTCATCTGGAAGTGCAGGAGTTTTGTGGGGAAGGAAAACCTGCTGCAGAGACAGCCAGACCTGGCACTGCCACCTTCCCAAGGGCACCGGGGACATTCACATTCCCACAGTTTAGCCTGGAGTGTGAGGAAGGAGCAGCTTAAAGCGTCCTGGGGGTGAAGGGTGGGCTGCAGGTAATTCCTCACAGCCAATATTGCAGCTCTGGGAAATCCATCCTATTCATACCTGGGGGTTTTTGCTCCACATGAAGGACAGAGGCTTTTCCTGCAGCTTTTTTTTTTTTCTCTCCGTGGCATTTTGGAAGAGTTTTTTAGGCAGTGGTTCAGGTGGCTTGAGCTATAAGGTTCTGCTTCTAGATTCAGAAAAAAAAATTGGGAGCTAGGTACACAACATTGGAGGAGGATTTTCTTGGGTTAAAACTGGACACAAAGTAAAATTATGGCACAAAGTGAAGATATTATCCACGTTATCCTGAGGGATATTATTATTCCACTTATCCAGAGGGCTCACACCAGGCTTTAGTACAGGGCAGACTTCACCTATGACAACTTCCAAATACTTTAAAGCTTTTTTTGTCTATATATGTAATATTTGCTATTTTTATTCAGCTCCCCGCCTGTTAATTCCCCAAGTCAAATGGATCTTTCTGCTTGTAAATACATTAAAAGATGGACCAGTAGCTTGTTGCTATTTTTCTGCCCCAAAACCTTGCATCATTCTGTGACTGTTGGGTACCAGTCTGAGTTGGTTCCCATCACTGAGGGAATTTGGTGAAAACTGAGGGGAAGAAAGAACAGCTCATGTGTGCCTGAGATCTCTCGAGTTGGCGTTCCCAATTTTGCAGTTTTTAGCTGTGAAGAGCCAGGTTCAAATGTTACACAAGGCTGTGGGCTGAAAATCAAAACCCCTGGATCCCAGCCCATTCCAGGAATGCCAGGTTTGGAACAGCAACCTGTGGATTAAGGTGGGACTGCTGCTTCCATTTTAGAAAACAGCTGAGATTATGTGCTAGAGCTGCTTGGTGTAATCTCCTCCTGACTCAGAGCTGGAACGCATCCTGCCAGCACAGGAGAGTGCTCTGTTAGCAGCACAGGAAATCCAGGGAATTAAAGGAAACCCTGGCAGATCTCCACCTCATCTGAAGCAGAAACGGAGTGAATATTCCACAAACTGCATAGAGAAAAAAGGGATTCTATTGCTCTCCCAATTGTGTTTTTACTCCTTTAGAAAACAGCAGGAAACTGCACCCTGGGAGCCTGCCCCTGTTTATGGCTATTGCAACCCTCTGCTGCTCCACATCCTGCAGGAATTTCTAGCCAGACCTATTTCCACCTTGCTTTATTCACCTTGCTGTGTTTTATTTACAGAGATATTGCAAAATACCGTGTGAACTGAGTACAAACAGCACGTACAGCGTGGGTTTGGCAGTGCCAGATTCAGCGTGGTGAAATGATGCTCTTGTGGGGCTTCCATTCCTAAAATCCATGGAAAAATAGATAGCAGAGAGTAAGGGATGCTGGAAACATCCAGACCTTTCCAGAGTCCAGCTTGGACACAGGAGCTGGTCCAGGTAGGGGCTTTCTTGGCTTTTTATTCTGGCTTTTTCCAAAATGCACAGTTTTATCTCCTTGACTGTTGATTTAAATTAGGCACAATGTTATTCTGCACTCTCTGGGGAGAGACAGAGGCAAATCAGACCCGAGGTGCTCCTTGGGGCCCCTGATTTAGGTGAGAAGAACCAGCCCTGGCCTGGCTGGCGTGCTCAGGGTGCCCCCCCTGGCACAGTGTCCTCGTGTCTGTACATTCACCACGCTGCCACCCCTCCCCTGCTGTCACCCTGGGCAGAGCCTGGAGATGAGATGCTGGTGGGCAGAAATCACTGATGGGAGGTGAGGGGGTCCTGTTGGATGTACACCATGCAAGACAAGGTTCCCACTCCTTGAGTTTCTCTCTCCATCTATGTTTTTTGGCTTGGGGCTCCGAAATCCCTCCTATTCATTGCTATTTACACCGATGGTTTGACGTGAGACTGATGCCCCCTCCTCCCTTCCACCCATGGCTTGTAGGCTCACACTGCTGCAGGGTCTGTGGGTGGCAGAACCTCCTCGACCCGCCTGGGGACCTCTGAAAGTTTTTTGTGTTGTTTTTTATGTAATTTCCGAAGGCTTCAGCAGCTAAACGCCGGGTGAGTCAGCTGGAGGTGAAGGCAAAGCTATTGCACGGAGCTGGCAGAGGCCCTGGCTGGCTCCTGCTCCAAGCGGGAAGGATGGCCTTGTCTTTGGTGAGAGTTGTGCCGCTGACCCAGCGCCACGTCCTGCTGGCCCCGTGGCCACTCTGTGTCCAGGGCACTCCAGGCCGGGTGGCCACGGGCGAGAACCGAGCGAGAGCGCCTCGATCCTTGCGCTTCCACTTCCACCACGGCGCGAGGGCGGCTCTGAAAAGCGCCCTTGGGGCCGGTCCAGAGGTCACCCAGCGGGGTGAGAGACCCTCCCACCTCGTTCCATCCCCAGCAGGCGCTCGGGCACCGAGCGGTGCCCAGCTCAAGAGCTCCAGCCCCCTCCCCGGCTGCCCCGCCGTGCATGGATGGCATCGCTTCCTCTTCCCCCTGCGTTCCTAAAAAAAATGCGGGTGCTGTTTGTGACTTTTAGCAGTGGAGGATCTTCATGAAAGCCTTGCGAAACTCGATGTTGAAGGTGGTGTAGATAATCGGGTTGACAGCGCTGTTGACATAGCCGAGCCACGTGAAGGCGCTGTACATGGCCGGCGGGATGTTGCAGTCGCAGTGCATGTTCAGGATGTGAGTGATGAAGAAGGGGAGCCAGCAGATGATGAAAACACCTGGGGGGGAAAAAAGGAGAGAGGAGGGTTTTGATTGCTGAAAGCTGGGCAGCTTCTCAGCAAGGTTCTCTTTGGTGGAAGGGGAATTTATTTCCCAGAGGAATGAGATTTGTGTTTGCGTGCTCAGTGTCCTGGTCTGCGTTCTACCCTGGTACTAAAGAACTCCTCTGCTCGTGGAACGAGCCCAGACACAGCAGAAACTCTGCCCTTTAAAGGTGCCAGCTCTGCTGAGCTCTGCTGCCTTTTGCTCCAGCAAGCCCAGGAGCTCTCCCCTGTTTTGGGAGCTCAGATGCCCCCGAGAGGGGCAGCTTTGGGCACCCTTAGTGCAGCACTGTGCGTGGCCGGGGAGGAGGGACCCTCCCCTGGGCAGCCCTTTGCCTGCTATCCTCTGATATGTGAAGGGAAATGGGTTCTGAGGGAGGTTGGGAAATCAGCCTGCGCGGGACACGGGCGCTGGCATTTCTGCAGGGAGCCCAGGGCAGCCAGGGCACGCTCTCACCGAGCACGATGGCCAGCATCTGGGTGGCTTTCTTCTCCTTCTGCTGGGACAGTTTCCTCCTGATCACGGCCTTGAGCAAGTTCCTCGTCTTGCCGTTGGGCAGGGAGTGGATCTCGAAGACCTTGGCTGTGTGGTGGGATTCTTTGGCGTGGCCGTTCTTCTCCACCTTCCCAGGGCTGCTCAGGGGTGCCTGCAGGGTAGAGTTGTTGCCCCGATTAGAAGCAACTGGCACAATCAACTGGTGGTTACTTGGTGCTGTGGGTTTGAGGGCCGTTTTCTCAGGGGGACTGGTACTGGACACCATCTCCATTTCCATCTCTTCTATGTGACTCTCTGCCTCCTGGACAAGAATCAAATGTCCACAACATAATGACAGGTAAATACACAGAGAGGAGCAACGAGCATTCCTTACAGAGTGAAGCTGGATGATGCTGGAGAACAGTCAGTCCCTCGTCTCCCTCCCTGCCTGGCACCTGGAGGAAGGGCTGTGCTGTGTTTGGGTATTCTGGGCAGGTGGGATGGACAGAGCTGCACTGGAGGATTCTCCTTTTTGGCACAAAGAGGCTCAGAAATGGGGGAGACGCTGTCTCCACTCTCTACAGATTTTATTCAGGTTTTCAGAATGCAAATGAATAAAAATGGAATCGACAACCAAAACCCAACAAAGCCAATGCAATCCAAGATTTAAATAACAGAGAGGAGAAGGAAATCAAAGGCACAAAAATGTTCAAATGCCGTGGCTTTTAGAGCTGATCTTTCGGTGAGCTTAATCTGGCTTTGTGAGCTCTGTGAGCTTAAACCCCCTGCTTCACTCCAAGGAATGGGAAGACTATTTAAATTTTGAGATTGAACGGTAACCTTTGCTCTTAGGTTTATTTTTCTCCCACCCTACATAAATTAACCTCATGTCCTGAGGGAGAAGGGGAAGGCTGAAGGCTCTGGAAAGCTCCCACTTCTCTTTTAACACTCACCACTTTGCGCTTATTAACTTGGAAGCTCCCATTGGACTTCACAATAACTGTGCAGAGCTTGACGTCTTCTGGATGAGTGCATTTGTCCTAAGGGGCAAGCACCAGCTCAGAGGTTACACAGGCAGAGAGGGGTTGGGAAGGGAAGCTGGTAAGGGAGGCACGTGGGAATACAAAGGGATGAATCAGGAGCTCATCAGCGCGGCTGAGGAGCCGGGCAGGATGGAGAACTGATGGAGAACTGCCGTGGAGGAGCAGGGATGGGGGCTGCTACCCCCTGTGCTCTTCACCAGAGGAAGGAGGCCACGAAGCTCTGCTGTGTTTGTGTGTCCCTGTGTCGCTGCCTCCTCTGCAGGCAGCAGGGTTTGGAGATGGAGCGTGCCCCTGGCTGTGCTGCCAGAGCCCTGCTTTGACAAGAGGAGTGACAGCCAGCTGGGCTCCCTCACACGCAGCTCCTGCAGGGAGAGGCTGGTCCTGCACAGCTGTCCTTCCCAGGGAGGAGCTGTGCACCCCGGGCACTGCCACCGAGCTTTGGGGACACCTGACAGGAGCTGTGGGGACACCTGACAGGAGCTGTGCACCCCAGGCACTGCCACTGAGCTTTGGGGACACCTGACAGGAACTGTGGGGACACCTGACAGGAGCTGTGCACCCCAGGCACTGCCACTGAGCTTTGGGGACACCTGAGAGCCTAAAGGGGGAGGCTCCAGGAGATCTGGAGAGGGGCTTGGAGTGGTAAGGCACGAGGGAATGGCCTTAAATGAAGGAGGATGGGTTTAGATTGGATATTAGGGAGGAATTCCTCCCTGGGAGCGTGTGAGGCCTGGCACGGGGTGTCCAGAGAAGCTGTGGCTGCCCCATCCCTGGGATTGTCCAAGGCCAGGCCGGATGGGGCTTGGAGCCACGTGGGATGTGGAAGGTGTCCCTGCCCATGGGCTTTCATGTCCCTCCTGACCCAAACCATTCTGTGATCCTGCAGGACTGACTCACACACGGTGCAGCCTCCTGGCTGCCCCAGCCCAGCCCAAGGCCACGCTCGGGGTTACTGCAGCAGCTCCTGGTGCAGATCTGCTGCTGGAACAGCCCTGAGATCCAGCGAGGAGCCCCAGCCAGCCAGCTGGGAACCCACGGCGTGCAGCCGGGACCCCAAACCCGCCACAGCACCCACCTTTGGGAGATTTTGGGTGGTGTGGGGCAGGGGGAGCAGGGCAGGGGGAGGGTGCAGAGGCTGGTACCTTCAGGGGGGCCTGCGTGTCCGAGTCCAGCACGTGGCTGCTGCGCTTGGTGCTGACGCGCTTCCTGCGCCGCCGCAGCACGATGTAGATCTGCACGTACACCAGCAGCGTGACGATGAAGGGCACGTAGAAGGACACGATGGAGGAGTACACCACGAAGGCAGGGTTGCCAATGATGCACTCCTTCTCGTCTGGAAGAGAAAAGCTTGCAGGGCTGGCGTCCCCGCTGAGGGGGTCGCCGCGCTGGCTGCCCTGGGGCTGGACGGAGTCACATCACCCCCAAAAACTCCTGCTGCTCCTTGCCTTGCAGCTCAGCACGGCTGATCCCGTGCTGCATCCGACCAGCATTGCCAGGAAACTGCTGCCTGAACTGCCAGTCCTTTCCTCTCCTGCCTCGGGGAAGGTTTTGTCCCACGGCTTTCCTTTTTGTGTGTTTTAACAGAGGGAGGATTTTGAATTTGTAGTGGACTAATGTTAAGGTAACACAGATTGGTGTTGTGTGAAATTCTAGGTCACCTCAGTCCTGGTGAGTGTGAAACCCAGCTCTGGAATAGCTGGAGATGAAACACACCCAGAATCAGCGTGCAAACAGTGAGGGGTGGCAGTGGGAGAGAACAGTTCCAAAATACACCTCAGACCCGATCCCACCTTTATTCCTGGCTGCCTGGGAGGACAGCAGGAGGCAGCTGCAGGTGGCAGAGGGACAGAACACTTCCAACACACCTCAAACCCGATCCCACCTTTATTCCTGGCTGCCTGGGAGGACAGCAGGAGGCAGCTGCAGGCGGCAGAGCCCTCACCTGTGTTGTTGAGGCCAAAGAGGAGCGGGCAGGAGATGGCAAAGGAGAGCACCCAGACCACGGCGATCATGACGGTGACCCTGCGCTTGGAGCTGTAGCGGGTGTTGTAGAGCATGGGCATGGCCACGGCCGTGTACCTGCAGGGGACACACCCCAGGCTGCTGTCACCCTGCCACGCCTGCCACTGCACAGCTCGTGTGTCCCAGGGCGGCTGCAGCCACACCAGGAGGGGCGAGGCTGGGTCAGCTCAGCATGAAGTTCTCCTCCCACCCTTCCCACCAACGCCCCTGCACCACCCCAGAGCACAAAGAGAAGTGCCAGGCCCGTGGGACACAGAGCAATTCCATCTTCACCCCCAGGAGCAGCGTTTCTGTGCCTCCTGACAGAACTCCCTGCTCACAGCTCGTCGAGATCCTCTAAGCTGCTCTCCAAAAAACTCCCACTGGTTTTGAGCCCCTGAGTCCCAGGTAAACTGTGACCACACAGAGGTGGCTGGGACTTGCCACCCTGGGGTTGGCACAGCCTGGTGGCACAGAGCCCTCACCTGTCAATGCTGATGGCACAGAGGTTGAGGATGCTGGCAGTGCACATCATGACATCCAGGGTGACAAAGATGTCGCAGTGGATGCGACTGAAGCGCCACTCCCCCACCACCTGCAGAGAGAGAAGGGGCTGGTGAGCAGTTCCTGGGGCTACTGGGCAATTCCTGGGGCTGGAGAGAAATTCCTGGGGCTGGAGAGCAATCCCTGGGGCTGGTCAGCAATCCCTGGGGCTGGTCAGCAATCCCTGGGGCTGGAGAGCAATGCCTGGGGCTGGTCAGCAATCCTTTGGGGCAGGTGAGCAATCCTTTGGGGCAGGTGAGCAATGCTTGGGGCTGGAGAGCAGTTCCTGGGGCTGGAGAGCAATCCTTGGGGCTGATCAGCAATCCCTGGGGCCAGAGAGCAATCCCTTGGGCTAGTGAGCAATCCTTTGGGGCTGCTGAGCAGTTCCTGGGGCTAGTCAGCAATCCCTGGGGCTGGTCAGCAATCCCTGGGGCTGGTGAGCAATCCCTGGGGCTGGAGAGCAGCTCCTGGGGCTGGTCAGCAATCCCTGGGGCTGGAGAGCAGTTCCTGGGGCTGTGCTGGGCCAAAGGCAGAGCTCTGCCCCTTCCAAGGGGGAGCTGAGTTTCCCTCCCCTGCTCTCTGTGGGTTTGGGCAGCCCCAGCACAAAGCTGGGCTCACCTTCCAGTGCCACCGGGGAGCACAAGGCTCCTCCAACTCACAAGGGAAGATAAAGGAGCTTAAACAGCTCCCTGAAGCATTTCAAGGCAGAATGAGGAGGGAAATACATTCATTTTGATTCCCAAACACCTCTAATTTTACTTACAGCTTTTTTCCCAGACAGTTTTTTCCAATTCCACCCAACAAAGGTCAGCAGCAGACAAGCAAGAGCTTCCCTTCATTTCTTAGTTTAAAAAATCGGGGTAGGCATTCCTCACCTTTTTTATTTTTGGTGAACAAAATGAGTTTAATTCAGAGTGAAAGCCTTTAACACTCCACACGATGTGCTAAAGACAAAGAACTAATGATAACACTTCCAGGCACCAGTAGCCTTTTTTCTCTTCACTTCTCTTGCTGTTGAAGCTGAACTTTGCCAATTAAGTTTAATAGCAATTATTCGGACTGCTGTGTTTGACATGTGATGAAAAAAAAAGTATATTTCCCTCTAACAAAAATAGAGCCCTACTGCATTTGAAAATAGAATGAATAAGATATCTATTCTTCAGTTATTTCTGCTCTGATATACATAACCATAGGCAGCATAAAGAAGGGAGAATGACTGCATTGAAGCCTGAGTGACAGATGAATACTCAGTGATTAAAAAAGCACTTAAGAGACAGTTACATCAGGAACTTTGAGGAGAATTTGCCCAAAGGCAAAGGTTTCCAGCCAGATCCAAACCTCTGGGAAACAATTGCCCGAGGGCATGGTTTGGGGGAAGCCGGGAGCTGCAGCAGTTCTTTCTCTTGGTGTTTTCACTTGTGTTGGAGAAACCTCCAGAATTTGGGGGTAAAATATCTCTTTGTACCAAATCTGGGCTGTTTTCAAGTGTTTCATTTTGATTTTGAGTTTTAGGCCGAGCCTGTGACACAAAACCTGGAGAGAATTGTCCCAGCTGGCAGGTGAGGCAGCTGTGGTTCCTGACCAGCCCTGCACTTGAACCCAGAAAAGAGAGAATTTTGCATCGCTTGTGGTTTGTTCTTCTGCCTGAAAATTAAAAAGGGTCTGAGAGGTTCTGGCTGGACCTGAGGGAGCAGGAGCTTCTCCCAGCACCAGCCTCTGCTTCAAACTGGTGGAAAAGGAAGAGCAGAAGGAGATGGAAGCCCCAGAGGCAGTGCCTGCCTCCCACCAGCCCATGGCCACGTTAATGAGCTTCAGCAGAGGCTCCAGCGCCATGAAAACAATCATTAACTCGGTGATAATTAGCACTGTGCTCTCTCACAGCCCGGGCCACCTCAGTGGCTTTGTTTTGCTTTGCATCAGGACTCACTGGTGATCCCTCCTTGCCCTGCTCTCCTCCCTGTGTTATCATCCCTCCCGTGAGTGAGCAAATGGTTTGTGCTGAAGGCTGAGCTGTGAAAAGTGATTTTTTTTCCCTTTATATTGTGATATAAAGCTGCGGATTCCCATCCTGCTCCCACAATTGCCTTCCTGCAGCCCTTCAGAAACAGGGCCTTGATTGCTATTTTTTTTTTCTGATTGCTGGATTCAATGATCCTTGTGGGTCCCTTCCACCTCCACAAATTTCATGTGGTTTCAGTGTGATGCCCATGGTGGAGTTTTGAACACAGAATTGGGGTCCTTTCCCTCTTGACCCTGAGTTTTTGGTGCAACTGGGCCATCATTTAGCCCTCTGAGCAGCAACGGGGTTTCAAACTACCTGCTCTCCCATCCTCCTCCTGGGAAAAAAATGACAATTTCAGGGATAAAAAAGCTACAATTTCAGGAACAGAAAAAAACCCGCAATTTCAGGAACGAAAAAACCTACACTTCAGGGAACAAAAAAACTGTATTCAGGGCACGAAAACCACTTGGGGAGGATTGAGGAGGCTGATTTCCAGGCTGCTAAACCCTCCCCATCCTTCCTGGAGCCACATCCCGAGCCCTTACCTCCATGTAGACCACCCAGGGCATGCAGAGCGTGGCCACCAGCAGGTCAGCCACGGCCAGGCTGACGATCAGGTAGTTGGTGGTGGTCTGCAGGGCTCTCTCCCTGGACACTGCCATGCACACCAGGACGTTGCCAAAGACGATGATGAAGATGAGGAGGGCGAGCAGCACGGCGTAGTAGTTGTAGTGCGGTTTCTGAGCCGCCTCCGAGGCGTTCAGGGCCCTGCTCCAGTTCCTGTCCCCGTCGTACCACGAGAGGTTGAGGGGATCCATGGGGGCCCAGGTGCCGGCTGCCAGCTCCACCCTGCCACTGGGTGGGGGAGAGGATGTTGGGTCAGCGGTGGAAAAAATGGAAAAGTGAGAAAAAGAAATGAAAAAAGTGAAAAAAAAAATAAAATATCAGGTTTCTGCTGCCTCGCTCGTGACCTGCCCGGGGAGGTGGTGGAGTCACCATCCCTGGGGGTGTTTAACAAAGCCTGGATGGGCACTGGGGGCCAGGGTTCAGTGAGGTGTTGGGGCTGGGTTGGGTTCAATGGTCTTGGAGGTCTCTTCCAACCCGGTGATTCTGTGAATTCTCTGAATTCTGTGAATTTTGGGAATTCCTAGGGAATGGGGAGGTGGTGGAGTCACCATCCCTGGGGGTGTTTAACAAAACCTGGATGGGCACTGGGGGCCAGGGTTCAGTCGATGACCTTGAAGGTCTCTTCCAACGTAGCAATTCTGTGAATTCTGTGAATTTTGGGAATTCCCAGGGACCAGGGAGGTGGTGGAGTCACCATCCCTGGGTATGTTCAAAACAAGCTTGGATGGGCACTGGGAGCCAGGGTTTAGTGAGGTGCTGGGGCTGGGTTGGACTCGATGACCTTGAAGGTCTCTTCCAACGCAGCAATTCTGTGAATTCTGTGAATTTTGGGAATTCCCAGGGACCAGGGAGGTGGTGGAGTCACCATCCCTGGGTATGTACTCGGTGACCTTGAAGGCCTCTTCCAACGCAGCAATTCTGTGAATTCTGTGAATTTTGGGAATTCCCAGGGACCAGGGAGGTGGTGCAGTCACCATCCCTGGGTATGTTCAAAACAAGCCTGGATGTGGCACTGGGTGCCAGGGTTTAGTGAGGTGTTGGGGCTGGGTTGGGTTCAATGGTCTTGGAGGTCTCTTCCAACCCGGTGATTCTGTGAATTCTGTGAATTTTGGGAATTCCCAGGGACCGGGGAGGTGGTGCAGTCACCATCCCTGGGTGTGTTTAACACAGCCTGGATATGGCACTGGGTACCAGGGTTTACTTGAGGTGCTGGGGCTGGACTGGACTCGATGATCTTTAAAGTCTCTTCCAACCTGGTGATTCTGTGAATTCCCTGGAGCCTGTTCTCCCTGCCCTGGTGAAATGTTTGGCTGGAAATGGGATGGATGCAGAGCTACTGACCCAGGCAGGGATTGCAGAAGTTCCAGTTCACCCCCAGGTTTCTGTGCCAGTGACTCAGTGTTACAGCTGCCTCAGGCACAGTGCCTGGGATGTTTTGTGCCCTGCCATTCCCTGCTCCCTGTTAGGTGTGCACAGTTCAGGGCAGAAGTTCCATGACCCACTTTGTTTATTTTCCATGTGCTTCGTTGGGCTTTGGGCTGTATTCCTTTCATTTTTTTTTTATTTTGTCTTTTCCTTATATGTTTTTTTTTTCCCTCCAGCAGTGAAATAAATAAATTTTAAACCCCTAGACCTGAACAGTGACAATGATGGGACCTGACAACAGCAGCTTTTGCAGTCAGGGCTGGGCTGTGCTGCCTCTGCCATTGCCCCAGTGAGGTGACAGTGAAGGGGGACATGGTGGGGACAGCACTGCTGCCACCCCACAGCCCTCAGCACCTCCTGGCACTGGCAACATGGCTTTCCTGATTTTCCTTGGAAAATCTTATCACAGCAACACCCCCAGCGTTCCCTGGCCTGTGGCCACGAGCTGTGCTCTCCTCCAGAGGTAAAACATAAAAAACCTTGGGATTCCTGTGCAGTTCCTAAATCTGTGGGAGCCCTGCTGCTTGTTTTACCCACTGAGAGTGCCTTCTGGACTTTTTCTGTCTCTCTGTGCTGTCACAACACCCTAAAGAAATTCGGCTGCTGGGACAGAGGTTTGCATGCCATTAACTTGAAATTCAGAGAACAAAATCTCCTCTGTGCTGAGGGAGGTGAACAAACCAAGCTCCAGGAGGATGTGGGGAGTGGAGGGCAGCTCTGGGGGCTGCTGGTTTGGGTCTCTCTCTGGTGCCAGGGTATGAAAATGTAAATTCCATATTTGCGAGGGGACCTGCAGAATGTTTGGCCCCTGGGAGAGGTTTCTCCTGTCTCCTGGGAGAGGTTTTCCCTGGGCCCTGGGAGAGGTTTCTCCTAGGCCCTGGGAGAGGTTTTTCCTGCCTCTTGGGAGAGGTTTTCCCTGTCTCCTGGGAGAGGTTTGTCCTGGTCCCTGGGAGAGGTTTCTCCTATCCCCTGGGAGACATTTTTCCTGATCCCTGGGAGAAGTTTTTCCTGTCTCCTGGGTGAGGTTTTTCCTGTCCTCTGGGAGAGGTTTTCCCAGGTCCCTGGGAGACATTTTCCCTGGTCCCTGGAACAGGTTTTTCCTGGCCCCTGGGTGAGGTTTTTCCTGTCTCCTGGGAAACATTTTTCCTGGCCCCTGGAAGAGGTTTCCTCTGGTCCCTGAGAGAGGTTCTTCCTGGCCCCGGGAGAGGTTTTTCCTCTGTGTGGGAGGATTCCTGATCTCCTGCCCAGGAGGGTTCCCTGCAGAGCTGCCAGGGCAGGGCTCTAACGAGGGACATCCCCACACCACACCTGAGTCCCGCTTGGAGAAGGGATTTCCACCCAGCAGAAGCAATCTGGGCTGGAACCTGAGAACCCCCTCAGTTCATAAATCATTATAAATCCTGACCTCTCCAGAACCCAGCCAGCAGGAAAGGCCAACACCTGCCTGGGAGCTCCTGAGCCTTTCACAGAGGCCTCATGTTGTGCCAGGGAGGTTTATTTGGATATTGTGGGGAAAACATCCATGGAAAGGGTTGTCAGGCACTGGGACAGGGAGTGCTGCAATCAGCATCCCTGCAAGGGCCCAAAACCCTGCGGATGTGGCTCCCGGGGCTGTGCTGGTGCTGGCTTGGCCAGGCTTTTCCCACCTAAATAATTCCGTGTTTCTGGGGCCTCATGCCCTGCTCAGCCCTTCCTAGGATCAAATATTCCATGTCTGAGGGAGGGATCAAATACTCCATGTCTGAGGGAGGGATCAAATATTCCATGTTTGAGGGAAGGATCAAATATTCCATATTTTGTGGAAAGATCAAATATTCCATATTTGAGGGAAGGATCAAATATTGATCAAATATTCCATGTTTGAGGGAAGGAACAAATATTTATCAAATATTCCATATTTTGTGGAAGGATCAAATATTCCTTGTTTGGGGGAAGGATCAAATATTGATCAAATATTCCATGTTTGGTGCAAGAATCAAATATTCCATGTTTCCCAAGCTGCATCTCCACAAAGACCACACCGGGAGATCTGGCCCTGCTCTCAGACACCCCAAACCAAGGCCACTTAATTTCCTTAATAAAAGACAAAAGCGACTTCGATTTATTAAACCACGTAAGTGATCAAAATAGCAAAACATTTGCAAATATCAAATTCACCTGGGAACAATGGTTTCTTTATGTTTCACTGAGCTTTTGTGTGCTTTTCTCATTCAGAGAACAATTTGGATAATAATCCTTGGAAATTTGTTGCATATGGGTCCTTAATAGCTGATAATTCAAAAAGTGTCTGTCTGACAGTGCTATCAGCAGCACTTGATAGCTCTACAAATGTCTTCTTAGGAGCTGTCAAAGTGTCAGAAATTAATTAAATGTTAGCTTCTGTGACTCAGAGTGAAGGGGAAAAATCAATGCTAAATACAGCAACAGTTTTTTCTCCTCTCCTGTTGCCCTTTCATAATGCAAAACTATCTCGAGGAGGCAGAACCATGCAGAAAATGTAGGGTGGGACAAAAAAAAATTAAAAAAAAAAAAAAAGCAGGGGCATGGAGAAGTGTCTTTGAGGTGTAAAAGGGTTTGAGATGGGCAGGATCAGCCCCTTGGGCCTGGGCTGGATTTTCTGAGCTCTGGGTGCAGGAATAAAAATGGCTTTAAAAGGGAAAGGCCACAGAGAGGGAGATGGGCTCAGCAATTCCAGCCTTTTCCAGGCTGTTCCAGCTCCCTGCTGGAGTTGGAGGAGTCATTTATAGCTCATCTCTTGTGTCCATTCATCAGCAATTTACTCAATGGTGCTTAGGGAGTGTGTAAAAATCCCTGGATAAAGTAATCAACATTTCCCTTCATTTCCTTCCTGTCTTCCTCAGGATTTTTTTTTTCTTTAAATAGAACTATTTTCACAGTAATAATTTTTGTCCTTATATGCATCGTGGGGAAAGTTAATGTTTGAATATTGTACAAAGGAAAAGATTTGGTGTTTCTATTTAAAAAAATAAAAAGTTTTAGTTTGGGAATATGAAACAGAAGAAAAAGCTCCAAATATTTTGCATGTAAAAGGGAAACTTAAACACCAAAATCTAGGAATTAAAACGGTGTGATCACACAATTAAAGGCTGTATCCAGTACACATCCTCGTGGTACAAACTACAGCTACATGGACAGCTCTGTAAATTCCCAGCTTTGCAAAATTGGAGTTTTCAGCCCTAAAAAGAAGCTTCTCCTCCCCAGCCCCGGAACTGGCAGCGTTTGGAAGCATTCTTGGTGGCCATTAAGGAGGTTTGTGAGTCTCTCAGTCCTGCTTTGAGCAGCAATTTGGATTTCAGTGCTGACAGCTCCTCAGAAAGAGGAAAGAAAGAAGCACTTAAAGAGCTGGCTGGGAAAGGGACAGCTTTCCCCTGCCCAGCCCAAAAATTGCATTTTCCTGGGGAAAAGGGAGAGGGAAGGGATTAAAAACCACAGGGAAAAAAAGGCACAAACAGCACCCGGCTCTGGCCTGGCTGAAGCTCCTGAACAGAGATAAAACCGAGCCTTGGTTTGAGGGAGAAAGAGCCCAAAAAGGAACAAATTCCCTTGAGAATTAAGGGCAGCAAAGCCGCTGTAATTCCCACCCCGGCGATTTCCAGGGTGGCTGAGCTGATCCAGCCATGGATTAGCTGCAGGGTCAAGGGCAGACAGGGCTGCAAGGTTGCAGTGTTTGGTGGCAGCAGTGCAGCAGCACCCTGCTGCTCATCCCTGCTCCAGAAAACCTCCCTGCAAACATTTTTCCAGCAGCTGGGGGTGTGACATCTCACCAA